CCAAATTAAGACTCAAAATCACCCCAGAGTGCTTGAAAACATCCCCAACAGCACACAAGGGTTAATAAAATCATTTATTTAGTTATTATTTTATACTTATATGATTATATACTATAATTTCATTGATTATTCTGTTCATCATTAACAGTGACTTTATAGATTTTTCAGATTCGTCTTATTCCTCACATGGGGTTAGGTGGTTTAGTTTTAGTTTGAACTCACAGACAATATTTTCTCTTAGCATTGTGTTGTTTTTTTAATATTTTACATGTCTGTGTTATAAAGCATATATTAAAGATAGGTAACATAACATTATATCAATTCTAAACTAAAACATAAAATGACTGAACAGCTCATTTTCTGTAATTAAAGGGATAGTTCACTCAAAAATCTATCATCGTTTCTTTTTTGTCTACTTATTTCAAATCTGGTTTGTTTCCAACATAGGCTCATTCTGAAAACGCAGCCTTACTGTATATACATTTCTGCAAATCACGAATTATGTAGCCAGAGCTCTGTATGTTAGCATTTCAGCTTTAAAATGAACACTACGTGGCCGTGTGACACTGTTCCTTTTCTCGCTTACCAGCTGCCCACTTACCTCTGTATGGATGGCTTTCCCGCTGTTACCAGCTTGTCCGTCAGCACGTCTTGTATGTCGGTGGACTTGAGACACAGAGCAGAGTTGACCGCGACAAATGGGTCCTGTCCTGTGAAAAACAGTTCCAAAAAGCAGGTCAGACAAAACAAAAATACAAAAAACAAAAACAAAATACAAAAAAAATAAAAAAAACAAGTAAATAACAATGTAAACAAGGTAAAATCTGAAACTATGGTATAAATCAGGGGACTTTTCTTATTTCTGGATTGCTTTTTAAAACATTGGGTTTAGGAAAGGGGGAGGGTGGGGTTATCGGTTGGTTTGTCAGTATGTCAGTCAGTCGACAGTGGCCTCTGGTGCATTAACACTAGAAGAGCAGGTGCGAATGGCACTCGCAATACTATGTGTATGCATCCTTTATGATGCAAGCTGAGATTGCATCGCTCAGAGATGCAATGTCAGACACAACGCATTCAATAGACCTAGTGATGTCACTCTGAGGGGTAGGGTTAAAGGTGTTGTTGGGTGAGTGTATTAAAAAGCATCGGATGCAGCTCAGATTGCATCTGCACCTAGTCTGCAGCCAGACCCTTCTTGCCACTCGCGAGAGAAATTTGAGATCTGAAAAAGTGTACACAGCGGCCTCTGATGGATTCGCGAAAACAAAAACTGCAAAAAACGTAGCTCCTAGGATGTATTTTGCTCTCTCCAGAAATGTACATAGGGGTACATAATCAGAATGAGCCCGGGTTGTTTCTTTCTTCTGTTAAACACAAAAGAAGATATTTTGAAAAATGTCGGGAGGCCATAGAAATCCATAGTATATATTTTCTTCCCTGTATGGAAATCAATGGCTGAAAAAATATTTTCTGAGAAAAAAATCAAAAAGGTTTGCATCCACTTGAAGATAATAAAATAAATAAAAATATTTTCATAAATATTTGGGCCTATGTTGGGTCACATTTAGATCTCTTTTTTCTCCGCTGTGGATGTTTCCAATTTAGCTTGAATTCCATAAGCCTGTAAAATAATGGATTCTCTGAAGAGAAAATCCTTCCTAACAGATTGTAAACGGATTAGAGACAAATGTGCTTGATGATAAAGTGGCCCTTATGTCGATATGAGGAACTATACCATAATTGCAGTGAACTGAAAAATAGGACATCATTTGCATTGAATGCTGCGGAAGATGGCACAGAGCTGCAGGATTAGACATGCAAAATAACACCAAAAGGATTTACATAGATACATCAGCTTCTTGCAGCTCATAAATGCCATGATATTCAAATAATCCGCTCTTCCTGGAACAACTGTTGCGCTGAAAATAAAAAAATCATAACAGTGTTTGAAAGGCTAAAGCCACTTTATGGGCTAAAGAAAGATTAGTGTTTCAGACAAGTGGTTTAGCAAAATGTCACGAGGACAAGAAATGTATACAACAGAACTTGCCTTGTTATATTTTTATGGGGTACTGACAAATAATAATTAGCAGCAACGTGTAGGGTCAGGGCTGAAAATATGGTTTAGGGTTATCTGGATGTAATTATGCAATGTTATTAATATATCCTGAAGTACAACAAGGATATTGTTTAATAGTGTTACCTCAAGCTTTCTGAGAATAATCGCAGGAAAACTGGAGCACAAACACAATAGCAACACTCCACTCCATTTACACAGCCATGAGGGAAGAAAAAAAGAGAAGAAATTATGGGACTGTTGAAAAATAAGGCATTATAATTATAATCCCTCCCAAGAGTTTACAGTGGTAAAGATAGTTTAAGCCAAAATAACAGAGCTGCTTTAGTTATTGTGACTACAACTTGGCTATAATTACCTGTGGCTGGCTTAAGAGAATCATACTGGCCATAAATATATATATTTTTATGGTCATGACATGAATCTTATTTCATTAAAATGGGTAAACACATCTAACTGGAAAAATATATATACAGTGCTCACCATAATTATGCACACACCATTTTGAAAATTAATTTTTTTGTTTATGAATTTCTTAGTGAATATTATATAGGCAATGTATTTTGGTGCATTTAAACAAAACAGACTAATTAAACAGATATATTTATTAAAATAATATTTTAGTCTCCAAACATATTTACAAATTGAAAGATAATACAAATAAATTCAAGCACAATATTGCAAAAAAATATATATAATAATTACAATCTACAAAATGTCAACAAATTCTTTTGTTTCTCTAAATTGTTTTCTCTTTTTAAATTTGTATTTAATATTTTCCTCTAACCTATAAACTTAGGCTACTAATTTTTGAACCGTTATTGTGAGATAAGCTCCAGATTTGGCTTCAGTACTGACTAGTCTAATGTATATGCACAGATATAAGCATGCATAGCCTCCTGTTATAAGTATTTAAAAGATAGATTTGTGAGGGGTGTACTCATATATGCTGAGCACTGTATATATAATGTAAATACTTTGTCACACCTTACACATTTCCGTTTATTTTGTCTTAGATTTTAAATAGATCTCTGTGAAGGCAAAAGCAAAAACATAAACATATTGATTTTCTATTCATATTAGTAGGGGGAGAGTGGAAACGGTTGCAACATACGGCAGTTGCAACAAGATGTATTCCTCCATTCATGAATGAGGTAGAGTGAAGATATTCATACTACATATTCTCAGTTAGACCCTCTTTCAATCTGAGAGAAATCAGCCATATGTGACCATTCCTTCAGTATAAAACTAATTTTTAGGTTTGCTACTTAACTCTCACATCAATATCACATGCACAGAAAACAATTCAGTGGACTATAGTCTAAGTTGTGATGTATAGTTTACACTCATCCTCGAACTGAGAATGCTTAATAGCCATTTTTGACCACTGTTGAATCACATCACACATTAAAATCAATCTGTTACAAAATCACTGTCACTACTCAAACAGCAATATTTTAGACATTAATAACAAAAATGAATGACGAAAAGATGAATGGCTGCAATTATGATCTTGATTTTTAATAGTATTATGAGTGTATTGTAAAAGGTACATTTTAGAAAATGTCTCATACTATCTAATCTGTTTTTGTGAAACATGATTCGTTTGTATAATTTAAATCACTGTTTTTAGCTTTAAATAGGTATAGCTATCAAGCATTAAAGCTATTGTATCTCCCTAGCATAGACAGTTTAATCAGGGTTGACAGAGTTGAAGTTGCAACTGTCACCAATTATAAAATTCATTTAAAAGCTTGTCATATTAACAATGTACAGTTTTAATTTTATCATAGTTTCAATGTAATTTAATTCGAAAAAATGAATTTTTTGATTAACTAATTCATTTCGAAGCTCAAAGAAGTAGTGTAGTAAAGATTTTCAGTAATAAAATATTTTTGTTCACTTTTTTTAGGCCTGATACTTGGTTGTTGCTTGCTGTTTTAATAGTCTGTATTTATATGTATTTATATTAACATATTTAACAATTTAACCAATTTGCATTTAGTCTGTTTTCCAAAAAAATACTAAAAAAATCCAACCTGATGCTTTAGAATTTTTTTATTATTACAACTGTCCCTGTGGGTTGTTGCAAACGTCCGCCTGCTTGGGGTCAGTTGCATTGTATAGATTTGTCTGTTCAAGATTAAATTCTGCATACAGTGCTCAGCATATACGAGTACACCCCCCACAAATCTCTCATTTAAATTAATATTTTTTATAGGATGCTTTACAATATTATATTTGTGCATATACATTAGATTAGTCTGTATTAAAGCCAAATATAGAGCTTATCTAACAAATTAACTTACAATAACGGTTCAAAAATTAGTAGCCCAAATTTATGTGTCAGGGAAAAATATTAAATAAAAATGTCAAAAGTAGCAAGGATGTCCACAAACAACTGTCTCCGAGAAACTGAAGGAAATGCAAAAAGTGTTGCAACTGTCCACACTCTCCCCTAATGGTAAAAATATGATATGATTATAATATGATTTCCATCTATTCTTGCTTCTATTTTAAATGGATTGCCGTAAAGTAATATAAAATAAATAAACTGTAGAATCTGCATTGTTGTAATATTAAATAATAAACAAATAATAAATAATAATCATGATAACTGTAAAAAATAGGCAGCAAACGTTTAGATTTGTGGTGCATTAATAATTGAATAACGTTTGATGACGCCTGTTAATGTTTTAATCAATAACCCGCAAAAACGTAATTAATTCTAAGGGTGTATAAAGTGATCAAATAATTAGGCTATAATAAAAAATACAACTATGGATTATGTTCGGTTACAATTCTACACAATAATTCGCACAATTAGGAGTAGTTTTTGTGGTCAAATGCAGCAATGAAGCCTGCCAAAAAAAGTAGTTCCTCCTGAGAGACTCGTTTCCAGCCGGTAAAAAATTAATGCGACATGACAAGGAAAAATCATGTGAAAAGCATAACAACAATGTACATTGTAATATTTCTGTAACATGTATATTCATAAACATTACTCTATGCGTTTTTACAACAGCTATTGTTTGCTTAGAGAAGAAATTCGCCGCTGTTGTTGTGGTTAACATTCAGCACACAACGGCTTTTTAACTCGGTCACCGGGTTCAAGTATGGACCCAAAACACAAAAAACTGCTCCGAACACAGCGGCTTTTTCTGTCCGAGGAGCTTTTAGTGGACGATTTAATCATTCAGTATTTATATCAAGAGGAGATACTGACGGAGAGCCATTTAGAGGAGATTCAGTCTGAGTCGTCAAGCAGAAATAAAACGTTAAAGCTGCTGGATATTTTACCGAGCCGCGGAGCGACAGCCTTCCATCACTTCATAAAGTCACTGGAGAAAGACTTTCCCTGGATCAGAGACAAACTGCTGCAACTAAACGAGGAAGAAGAGTCTCCTCCTCCGCCCTTCACAGGTGAGTCCTAAGAGCTGAAACTGACTGAACATCCAGAGGACAGAAATATGTCATTAAATATCCCACATGTTTTCTCAACTTTATATCAAACTTTATAATAGTCATATAATAACCATATTTATAATATACTGTATACTGTACAATATAAATGGGACAGAAATATATAGTCAAAAATCCAACATTTTCTCTCATATTTATAATATACTGTATACTAGTCATATAATAACCATATTTATAATATACTGTATTCTGTACAATATAAATGAGACAGAAATATATCTTCAAATATCCTACATGTTCTGTCATCTTTATAATATACTGTATAATAGTCATATAATAACTATATTAGTGTATGCTGTATACTGTAAAATATAAATGGGACAGAAATATGGCATCAAATATCCCACATTTTCTCTCATATTTATAATATACTGTATAATAGTCATATAATAACTATATTAGTAAATACTGTATACTGTACAATAGTCATATAAATATATTAGTATTTACTGTATAATATATGGAAAGAAATATATCATCAAATATCCTACATTTTCTCTCATATTTTAAATATACACAAAGATTTAAATTCAATTATTAAGATACCCCTTAAAAAATCTGTGTGGCTAGATTTGTTTGAAGTTTTAGTCAAACATTCTTATTTATTTTATTCTATGAGGCCACATACTATAGTAAAGTACTCAAATTAATCTGTTGTGGTATTTCTATAGTTGTTATCTATAGTTTTAATATTGTGCTATAGTAATATAATCAAATAATTACTGAATACTGTACAATAACTATTACACTTCATCTTTACATGATGTATAAACTGAAATATACTACAGAATTGATTGCACTTTATCAGATCATTATATCTAAAGTATTATGTAGTATTCATTATCAACATTTTATAATATATTGTAGATTTTTTTAAAATCATAAACAGAATACACCATACAGTATAAAATACTATAGTATTTTTATAAAACATCTGTTTCAAATATTAAGTAAAAGTTTTGCATTTAGAGCATTCCCAGAAACATGACTATTTGTGAGAATAACATATATTTTCAGTTGTTGTGACTGAAACTCAGTATTACTCCACCAAATATTCATTTCTCAATATTTTAGACTCATCTGAAGTTAAAACTACTACAGTGATAAATATAAAGATGTCTGAAAACAGGGAACCTTTTGCATTATTTTATGCAAACAATGCTGCAAATGATGAATGGATAGATAGGCAGTATTTTTTGTCCTAAATGTCCTCATATGTGGGTTATATCTCCACAAAATGAAATCAAAGTGAAACATGCTGAACGTTTTGTGACTATAGCTGTCCTTAGTTTTCCTAACAGTCATCATTAATATGCATGCAAACAATAATTAACCTTTACATTTGATGTTATTTAACTGAAAATAAGTTACCAGATAACACTATACACTATAAGAACTGCAGGTGTAAATGGCATCTTTGCTAAAGCCTGGCACAAAGCATATTTCCTTTTGAGGTCAATGTATTGTTGTGCAAGTCCGTGTTAAACAAACAAATTCAAAACTGATTTAAAGTCATGTAAGCTTTATCAGGCATTATTGAGTCTTTGTATTTCAGTGATGTCTTGCAAAAATAAAATACTGATCATAAAATGACATTAAAATTGTGGGACAAAAGTGGTTGGACAAATAGTGGCAAGGTATAATTTGTTTTTTAATGAACAATGAATTTGAGCTTTAACAGTTTGCACTGTAATCAATGAATATACAATTTAAATATATCATCAGGTGATTCTTGATTTAAGGCAAGATAGCTTTTTTGTATTGAAACTATTGATCACTGAATGACATTTTTAGTAGGCGTTTTCTCTAATTTATGTTAATAATATATGTTAGTCGTCATTTTTTCTTCCAAAAAATGTATTGATTAATTAATAAATTCAAAAAGCACTAAGCTGAAAAGAAAATTAATGATAGGACAAATTAATAAATACAGTTTTTAATATTAATTAATAATAAATAATTATTAATTTATTTTTAAATACAATTATATATTTATTTCATACAGTTTACTCCCAGTTTTTTTTTCTGTAAAGCTGAAACAATGGTTGAAATCATTACAGCTATGTGAACATCGGGTATTAGTATTATAAAGTATTATTCTTTCAGATTGGTCAGGTTTATTTAGTATGCAGATTGACTTACATTTTTATGTTTGTGGCTCTGTATAAACTGTACATATTTGTTGTATTGTGTTTTTTGTTTGTTTGTTTGTTTGTTTATTTGTTTATTTTGTTATGTACACAATGGATGAGGGCTGCAAATTAGCTTCATGCTATATGCCCTATGTACAGCATAGGTTGTCTTTGTATAACCATGTCACATGTATTGTTCCTGTTAAATAAACAAACAAATACATAATACAAGAAATAATTTAGAAAAAAAATGTAACATATAAAAGGAAGACAATTCATGACTGGAGTAAGGCTGGACTTTTGTAGCATTAGGAATATAACATAAAGCTAGTTGGAGTGTAAATTGTTATTCAGTCACATTTTAGTCAGATGCTCCCTAATATTCCCTCCCAGTTTCACCTGATTTAACTCTCTCTCTCTCTCTCTCTCTCTCTCTCAAAACAATTGTAATCTTATTAATCAGTTGCACTAATAAAGTAAGAGGTCAAACCATTGCATGTCTCGTATATCTGACCAGAGTATTAAATAACATTTGGTTCAATTTAATTGCCAATACAATGACAATTGTCTAACAATGAACCCATAACCTGTGCATTTGAAGCATAGCTAATTTGCATATGATTTGAAAATCAATGTTTTATTTTAAATGAAACATGGTCTGTAAAATGCCTTATTTGCATCACCTACTCTAGACAAACAATAGACCTCTCTGCTTGAACTATGCAGGGAAAAATACGGCTTATTAGCGCTTTCTGTTGTTTTTGCATCACCTCTTTTCAATCACACAGTCAGGCAAGCCCCAGAACACCTCTGAAAAAATAATAAGCAGCCCCTTGCCTCCGAGAAAAACAAGACGTGAAAAGGAAAGCAGAGGGAGAGCGAGGTATAAAAAAGAGCTGAAGTAGTGTTTTGAGTCTCTCAAGGCCAGGCCGACTTGGTGCGCTGCCCTGCTTTTCCATGAAAGCTGCATTAATTCCTGGCACTAGCGCTGCGGCCCAGCACTCTCGCCGAGCATCCTCCTTTCTAGGAAAAATATAATCAAAGCCGTTTGTTGGCTGCTCTCCCTCTCCCTCCCGTCTCCAGTTACTGAGCTGAAGATTTTATTGACTTACTGTGGTTCAGATGGTAATAAATTGGGGAGGATGGGGGGTGGGGGCTAGGAAGAAGGCATAAAAGAAACGGGGAGGGGTCAAAAAAAAAAAAAGAAAGAAGCGTGCTTGCAGATTTCTAGGAAGTCGAGGACGAGCGCTATACTTTGAGCAAACATTCTTTACACTTAAGCACTCTCTTTAATTTCTAGCTTCCAGGCAAAAGTACTGCTTTTTTGTGCACCTGTCAGTATTGAGATTTTGGACTTTTTGAATAGGTGAAAGGTGTACATTCAGTCTAATAGAAAGATCACATTGAAAATACGTTTTCTTGTCACACTTTAAAAATTTGTGTTTGTAGATTGTATTTACAGTACATTAGGGCTGCACAATATATCATTAGAGCATCAGTATCACAATGTGTGTATCCGCTAGGGCTGCACGAGATTGGGAAAATTACACATTGTAATTTTTTTCTTGATTTGTTTATTTAATTTTTACAAATATAACAAAGTATATTTACAGAGAAATTTAAACAAATATTATTCCTACCCCTACCCTCTACACAAGTTGAAATTACATATATCTAACAGAGAAAACAATAAAAAAATAATCCTAATGATAATTAAAATAAATAAATAAATGAATCAAATAAGTAAATAAAATAAATAAATTACAAAATAAAAATACATTGATTAAGAAATAAAACATCCGTATAGAATACACATATACAGTACTTTGATAACCCAATATTACAAAAAATGAATCCTCAGGTATTTTTAAAGTACCTAATTATATTTGCATTGCATTTAAATGGCCCTAAGATTTAGATTGACGGTTTGTAGAGATACTGACATGCTTAGAAAAGAACATTCTAAATGGGTCCCATGTTTCAGAAAAAGCCCTAGCATTGACATTTATTGTAAATCAGATTTTTTCCAAATGGATATTAGCTTATTGCATCTCGCAACCAGTTGTCAATATTCAGGGGTAAAACTTTGTTTCCATAACAGAAGAATACAATGTCTTGTTAACAAATGCAAAAAAATGCAAGGGCACATTGCAATCTTTTAATTCTGCTATATTTATTGCGATATGAATACAATTTCAATAGATGAGTTGAATAAATGTTTGTAAAGACTCTATGATTTTAGATTGAGATTTAGATTGATTGGGAAGATTTTGTACGGGGTGCACAAAATATATTAAACGATCTACAACCATAGATAAATTCAATAAAGAAAAATATGCCAAATAAATAAACAGCGCTTTATTGTTTTCTGAAGCGTTGAAATGTATTCAGGTATACAGTGATTGAACAATCAAATCAAATTAATTTTTAATTTTTCAAAGTTACGAACAGTAATTTTTTTTATGCCTGATGATTTAGTATCCACAAGGATTAGATTATTTATTGAAGATTAAAGGATAAAGATATTGTTATTTAAAATAATTTATACAATGATGATCATGTTATTTTATGTTTGATTATTTATTTTCTGTATCTGGATACTGTTAGAATACAGTAAAGTGCTGTTTATTTCACTTTTGTATGCTTGTAATTTATTATGATTTATGCAAATGCATTGTATTGCATAGAAGAAGACTTAATCATTTCAATCTATCTAAATAAATGAGTTAGTCCAAATAGAACTATTTAACTCATCTGGTGCATTGTATTCATATCATGTTATTTATTGAAGAAAAACAAAATATTGCA